TGTGGTTCGCTTTCTGTACCCGAGTTCATACAACTGCCCCAGATTTCCTCATAAACCCACTATGTTACGCACGACTTCACCCACAGCACAGTAACTCCCTCCTCAGCCGCGCAAACAAGCAGCCACAGATGATGATGCTGAATGGGCCAATCGCACAGCCTGTACATTAGCCCAGTTAGGCCATCACTCGGTGCCGAGCTTAGAACGGGGCCATTCAGTCAGGGGCCACATCGGACACATCAATAACCACATTCTATAAAAGCAGTAAAAAAAAGGAGATAGGAGAATAAACGCGGAGCTACAATGATCACCAATAGTTAACATGATCATCTATAGGGCGTGCACACTAATCCTTCACATCCACATCTTCCCTTTGGATCTCTTAAGCCAAATAGGCTCATTAAGTGATCATTCTTAGAGTGTTTCAAGAGCTATCCGCTGCTGGTCATCCATGGATCCCCAGCCTTATGGACGACATATCCTGGATGTCTGACCAGCAGCGATGCTCATGTCACCGCCTCCATCCCTAAAAGCCGCACAATCGGAGCCCCGACAACAGTAATAGGAGGAAAATGGATCCATCTCACCGTACAGCTGTATAATGGACACGCAGCATCCGACAGATATACAATAGATGTATGAGGAGGGTTTCTGATGAGCGCAAACCCAATGCCCAGCCCTGCTCCTTCAGCGCTTCTGCGTCTTTGCCTCTCGGTGGCGCTGTGAGCTAAAATGGAGAAAGCAAATGTGATTATGTAACACTAAACCATAGGCAGTGATTGAGTATGACTCGGTGAAATTGTAATTTATAGAAGATGTTTGAAAAAAAAGAGGGGTATTTAGCTCTTTTCATCAAACCTTTTTGGGCGGTATAACTGTGTAACAGGGGCGTCAGCTGACCCAATACAGGGACACAATAGGGCCCTAATTTTTTGGGGGGCAATTATTTATTTTAAAAAAGCATGGACACAGATAATTAATGCAAGCATGCGAGCAAATTTTTCATAGCACTTATTTCATAGCACTTATTTATTATTATAAAGTGTCATAAATAAATTGTGCAATCAGATAGTTATTTTCTGCATCATCCAACATCTACCTGAACCAAAGTAAATTCAATTGTCCCACTTGTGAACTTAACTGTATATCTCTAATCCTCTACTGATGAAGGTACAATTTATCTTCATGAAATATGTCAGCAAACGTAAACTTGAAAACTGAAAACTTGAAATGTGCAACTTTTCAATTCTAACTAAAGTGGTAGTCTATAGCCCTATTTTAAGAAAAAATAAAAATAAAAGCATGCATTTTGTTGATTTCCCCATATGCCAGAGAGACAGACTTAAATTATTATTAATTGATTAAAAAACCAGTACCCCAGGCATACCCAGACACCGCAGATCCTCAACGGGGCACGGGCCCCTGTGAAAAGGGTCTGCCGGAAACACATCTGCATGTCTCCAGAAACATTTTAATTCAGAGCAGATTTCCTGAATCAAAGAATCTTTATGGCTTCTAGGCTATTTGATTGGAGCATATTCATTTATCAATTTTTTCTCTATTTATCTTCCCATCTAGCTTATTGTCAAAAATCATTGCCAAAAATGTAATTCTCCCTTCAGGCACTAGATGGGGCCAGAGTATTGCGTACCATCACATATGTGACCTGGAATAGTTGGTAGTCAGAAATAAAGTAGCCTATTTGATGTATAAAACACTTTTTAAAAAGCAAGAATATGTTCAAAGATCACATAAACTCGCTTAAAGCAAGGCAATAGTTTATTTTTCCTCAATTAACAGATGTTATTAAATGCAATTATAGATTTACAATAACCAATTTTTTTTTTAAATCAGTTTCCTCTTACCGAAGAAAACATTTAGTCAGATTTAGTTGGTTTGATTTCTTATTCAATAAGGTCTAGTGGAAGTAAGACAACAACAAAAAAAAGTTCCATCATTCAATAGTTAACAGGGCATATTCATATCCATGCTGAAAAAGTATCTTTGTACAGTGGGCAAGATTGCATTGACAACAAATATGCTCATAGTCTAGATTTAAATGTTTTGTGCCATTTTTATTTTTAAAAGTTAAAAACTTCTAGAACTGTTAGGATAAGTATCATTGATTATGTGTGAGTTTAATACACCTTAATATTACCTGCCTGTTGTGTGTCAGAACCAATGTTTTCCCAAGTAGTTTATCTAATTAGGATATGTACAGTCTGGCTATGTACAGTTATAATCTTCATTCTGCATGAGGCAAAGATTTGGGAATAGAATGAAAGCGGTGTCCTTGATCTAAGAACAAAGTGACATATTGTGATATGGCTGGAGCCATGGATGTCTTCTCATCTACAAAAATGTATGATGTAATGATGTGATGACAATCTTCAAGTTGACAATCCAACGAAGAACCTGTGGTGGATGATGAGTTGGAAAAGATGAAATAACCAATTTTTTTCACATCCAACTGCCATGCCATACCTCTCAATAATTTCAATGGTGAAGTCCTCTTGAAATCTTAAATAATTGTTGTTGATTTCAGATGTGTCTTTTGGTTCCCATTGGTTTTGCTTGTAAAGAGAATTGCCTTCGGCTTACCGCACCGTGATGTCACTGCCGGAAAATTTCAGTAGTCAGGAACACACAACACACAAGTGTAAACAAAAATAAATTTCATTAAGTACAGCTCTCTAAAATATATCATACCACTATATTTGGTCAAAAATTGCCAGGTCCCAGACTTAGTGATCAAGACGGAAAAATATTGTTTTTATTTTTTTGCTGATTAATGCTAAATTCATTAAATCACCGCGAATGTACCAGTTTTAGGTTTAACTAATGATCCATTGATCATTCCTTGCTTAACGGATTTTCCTTTAAATGTTTATCGGGGCAACTTCCCAACTTACCAACTGGGTGAGCCCGGTTGGTAAGCAGCTGCCTTCTGTAACCCTAAGCAACTTCTCTGATCTCTGAGTAAAGTTACAATTTCTATCAAAATATGTTGTCATGTCTCATGGTCAGAAGCGGGAGATCAATAGGCAGATTGGAGCTGCGTCTGCTGTGAAGCGTGCGCTGTACCGGTCTGTTGTGGTGAAGAGAGAGCTGAGCCAAAAAGCGAAGCTCTCGATTTACCTGTTGATCTACGTTCCTACCCTCATCTATGGTCATGAGCTTTGGGTCATGACCGAAAGAACGAGATCCCGGATACAAGCGGCTGAAATGAGTTTTCTCCAGTGTGTCTGGGCTCTATCTTAGAGATAGGGTGAGGAGCTCAGGCATCCAAGGAGGACTCAGAGTAGAGCCGCTGCTCCTCCAAATCGAGAG